GTGTCAAATTTGTTTACAAGGCGAATAGTAATATTTTCGCCGTGACATACAAAACTCGAAGCAAATTACATCCACCAATCAGAATTAGGCATTTTGAAACATCAAAAATATTTGTTTACTTTTTGAATATTTTTATTAAAATTGTAAAACTGTCTGTAAATATCTGATTTGTTAATTAAAAAATACCAAAACAGTGCCTTAAATGCAATAAAGTTGGTGCCCTCGGATATATAGATATGATGGGATATACCAAACGATTATTCTTTAGAAAACAAAATGGTCATTTCAAACTAAGGTCTTGATGAGTGCAGTTTTGTAGAAGATACAACAAAACGAGTGACGACATTTGGTCAATCAGTGTGAAAATGTAGAAAAGTAATCAAACACTTTAAGACGCTGGCAAAGATATTTGTTAAGAGGTATCGACATCCCTAAGTGCGAAATTTTATAAGGACTTTCTACCAACTGAGATCTCCAAGAATTAGAGGCACTTAAGTTTCTGCAACTGGAATGACCATTATACAGGACATTTATGATCCGAATTGGAAGACATTTGGTACAGTTCATATATTTGGTCCAAGGACGGGCCTTGTTGAAATGGTTGAATGGAGGTTTAGATTTAGGAATAGCCCCTATATATAGTTTCTTCCCATTTTATCAATATTGCACCAAACTCCTAATGTTTGTCTGACTGAGACGAACCAAATTGAGCCTGACTCATAAAAAACGTTACTTTGCCCATAACATCTTTCTTTCTACAAAGGACATAACTTCTAGTAGAATGGGACACATTGGTCCACATTTTAGAAAAGATTCAGTTGCTGAATCTATTTAGCTATATTTTCCCGTCAGTCTGTACAATTTTCTAGTGGCTTTGAAAGTCACCATTATGTACCGAACTTCACAAAATTTTTATATTTAGAAGGAGCTGTAGGTCGATTCAGTAACTTATAACGATCCGACTATCGACAATTTTGTCTACACACAAAATCGTTTGCAGTAACGAACATGTTATTCTGTAAAAATGTAGACAAATTGTCGATAAACTTTCAAAAAGCTTTTAATTTGGAACATTTTGAAAACAACATACATACAAATTTTGAACAAAACAAGGCATGTTCAATATTGAAAAATATTTGTCGATAAGTTAATTTCGAATTTTTGGTGCTGTTTATTAACAACATTTTTAACAATTGTTGTTAAAAACTAGTATAGAATTAAAATATTGTTTATTTTGTCGTTATAATATTTTATCGATTTGAGAATTGTTTAATTTTGATAGTGAATCGACCCACTGAAGTATCATATTGTCTACTCGTTCGACTATACTGCTTTTTTAACTATTTCATAACATTTATTTAACAAAATTTTTTATTGTTTTTCATTTGAAATTTAAATTTAGTTTCTTTTTATCTACGGCCAATTAAAAAAACAAAATTCTATTTGACATATAATATTACCATCAGCTGCCTGGATACGGTTACCTTATTAATATACCTTGGATTCCTCTGTTAAGAGTTTTGGCTTTAAAAATTACCAACTATATTGCAGTTACAGTATCATGGTATAATAATAGAAGGTAACAGCAAGTGTTGTTGTACAACAAACGATACAACAACCACATGGAAATTTGTTTTTGTAAGTTATACTAGTGTCAACGCAATTTGACAGGAAAATGTAAAGAAACAAAAAAAATTATATTTATTTTGAAAATGAAATATTTTCGAAAATGAAATCTATCAAATTTATATTTGTATCGCTTCCACATCTTTCCAATAATTGTGCCATTGCCACTTATATTTGGAACACATATGAAAATGCAGGGAGTTATTCTATGAACATAGATTTGATTCCTCGAACTTTCCCAGCAGGCAGATTGAGTAAATTGAATACCGGAGCATATTTAATAAAGAACAAATTCAAATTGTATGCGATCCCTATTTTCCTGTTGGGTGATTTTTAAAAACATAATTTGTCGAACGTTAGAATCAAATCAGCTGGGATTTGCTGTTACCTTTTATAATTGAACAATTTTACAGTATATTCTTCAGCAACAAATGCTTGCGAACGAATGAATCGACGACGCTTGCAGCGAAATTTTATCGTTCGTGAATTTTTCGTACAATGCGAACATTCGCGAGAGAATGCAAATCCTTGTGTATTCATTGTAACTTTATCATTCGCGATAAATTGAAAACATTCGAATTTTCGTCCGTGAGCATTCGTAAGAAAGAGCGTATTTTAATCATTCTTCGAACCCTGGTCACAATCAATTTTTGGCAAAATCGACATTTGAATGGACTTTCATAAATTTAGACTCATTTTTTATAAAAATTTACACACCAAAATTTGGGACCCAATTGCAAATAAGCTACGGTGAGCACACTCATGAGATATACACTAAACGGAGCAAAATCACGAAAAATTTAACATTTTTTAAATTGTTTCAAATTTTACCATTTTATGTTCGCTTGCCTAATATTAGAGTTGTACCTAATTTATTGCGCTCCGTACAAAAATACTCACACCAAAATACGCATTGTCAATACTGAAAATGTTGAACTTTATATTTTGATACGCAAAGCGTATTTGGGTAACACTCATTGAAATACATGTATTTAACCTTTGAGGTGAATAAATTAGTACGCATACGCATGAATTTAGGTACGACCCTTAAAGTATATTTACATATACGATTTAAAATCGACTCGATTAACTAGATCCAGAAATACACCCTAATTGTTTACACATACCTGTAATCATGATCTAAATGCCGATCATCTGATGTTTGTTAGTATACGTACAAAATTATTAATTAAAACCAAAATGTTTGCAATTTGAAATATTACAACAATGAAAATGTTTTCGCAAAGCTGTGAAGTTAAAAAAAAGCACAAAAAAATTAAAAATAATTTTTATTTTCCTTTAATTTTTTTTATTTGGCAACCGTTAAATTTAAAAACAAACAAGTGAAAAAGCTTTAAGTTCGACCGGGCCGAACTTTGGATACCCTCCACCACTGGTACTAGAAATGAAAATATAGGGAACATACCAAAAAGTGGACCTATACCGACATGTCTAAAGACGGATTATGTAAACATTAATACAAATTTCAGAAATTTTTAATTGATAATTCAAATTCGAAGATGGGGAATATCGGTCCACTCCTTCTGAAACCTCCACACATGGGCTAGGTCTAAATACGGCTATAGTTCATTATCGAACCTTACGTTCTAATTTTTTATCTCGCTATCCTCCGCAGGTGAAATGATTACAATAGAGTCTTAGAACCAAACTCAAAACGCGGAACAAATCAGAGAGAGATTTGTTACCATATACGACTACAAAATATCAAATTGCAGCAAATTCGGCTGAAAAACGCGCTAAAGAACCCCAAAATACCGGAAATTGGGGGGTACCCTTATATGGGGGTTACCCGAAAAAATGGACCTATATACATAATTTTTTGTAGAGAGATTTGGTACCTATTAAGAACCCAAAATAATAAATTAGAGCCAATTCGGTGGAAAAATACGACCAAAATACCGAAAAGTAGGAGGTACCGTTATATGGGGGCTACCAGAAAAAGTGGACATATATTTATAATTTTTGTGGAGACATTTAGGACCCAATAAGAACCCAATGTAGCAAATTTCAGCGAATTCGTCTGAAAAACGTGCTCAAGAACCTCAAAATACCGAAAATGGGGGGGTACCCTTATATGGGAGTTACCCGAAAAAATGGACCTATATACATAATTTTTTGTAGAGAGATTTGGTACCTATTAAGAACTCAAAATAATAAATTACAGCCAATTCGGCGGAAAAATACGACCAAAACGCCCAAAATACTGAACATTAGGAGGTACCGTTATATGGGGGCTACCAGAAAATATGAACCTATACTTATAATTTTTTGTGGAGACATTTAGTATCCAATAAGACCCCAATGTACCAAATTTCAGCGAATTCGGTTGAAAAACGTGCTCAAGAACTCCAAAATACCGAAATTTGGCGGGTACCCTTATATGGGAGCTATGCCTAAACGTGGACCGATATATCCCATCTTCGAACTTGACCTGCCTGCAGACAAAAGACAACCCTATGCAAAATTTCAGCACCCTATCTCAATTCCTTCAGAATATAGCGAGATTACAACAGACGGACGGACATGGCTAGATCGTCTTAGAATTTTACCCTGATCAAATATATATATATATATATACTTTATTGGGTCGGAAATGAATATTTCGATGAGTTACAAACGGAAGCACAAAATTAATATACCCTCCATACTATGGTGGAGGGTATGAAAACATGTGATTTCGATGATGACTTAAAATAAATCCTGCCGCACAATGATTTAAAATTGTATGATAAATTGTGGTGAATTAAGCCTGATTAAGAAAATAAACCCTAATTCGGCCTTTAATCGTGATTAAAAGTTATATGTAAATCCGCTTTAAGATTGTACAAGCCGTAAATCGCCTTACGTTGCCAACATTTTGTTTTTATAAACATAAAGCGGCAACTCTTATCAGTACAGCGGATAAGAGAACAAAATAATTGAGAGTAAAAAACACGTTTCTCTTTAACAAAGAGTCAAACTTTTGAGTAAACAGTGGTTCGTGTTATCTCCAAATAATATAAACATCAACATTCGCTCAATGGCAAATAAAAACTCTTCTCCCTATCTCCACACGTTCTGTTAATGTTTGTGTGGCTGTGTGTGCAAATAATGAAATATCCAAAAAATAATAACTGAAGAATAAAAAAAGTGAATGTTAGCCAGCAATTCTAGCTACTTTTTCTACAACAAAAATGTGTTGTTATAAATTCAACACGTTAAATGTAAATATTAAAACATATGGATGATACAAAAACACACGCACACACAGAAACACATGTGGATATTCAATAGATTTGTATACAAAACACATCTGTAAAATACAATTTGTTTCGCCGTTAAGAAAATCAAATTAAAAATAATTTTTAACTTACCTTGAAATATGGCTGCTTGAAAAGAGAATTAAAATATGAAATATTATTTTATTTTTATTTTTTAGTAATCTCCAGAGATTTAAAAATGAGCTATAGAACCGGAATTTATTTATTTATACGAAAAAAAAGATAATATTTTTTTCTGTACGCTACTGAAGTCAACAAACAACCCGCTGAAGCAACGTCAGCTGAAGTGCCTTTGTCCCAAACTGTTTTGTTCTGGTTCTGCGGAGCGCGTTTATTGTTTTGAATTGTTTTCGGGAATGAAAACAAAAAATAACCCCCCTAGCATATGAACCGAAAACACCAACCAACGACACACGAATGCGGTGAGAGTAAAGAGAGAGTAGTGGAGGCGAGTGTGTTGCTATTACATTTGTTGCTGTTGTTGTATTTTTGATAGCGCTATTTATTTTTCTTCAAGATGCTTACCCATAATTTTGGCAAAAGCAAAGAAAACCTCTGCAGATTATAACAATGTCCGAAGAGATAGCAATGAAAATGCTTAAATCTCCGCTGGTTTTGCAAATGATAAATGATCGCTAATTGTGGTCTACAATTGCTCTCACAAAAATGAAGTTTCATTTATTATGTTCTAAGACTGTTCGTTGGCTTTATATTTAGGTATCAGTATTACTCATTCAGTTCAGCTTGTTTTCTTATTTTTTTTTTTATAAATATCAGTAACAAAGCGCCAAGTAAGTGTATCATGTGTCAGAGTTGTACAACATTTTTGTGTGAATGCACACAGAAATTTTGAAACACAAAATCAAAGCGAACTGGGGGATACGTTTTTTGAGGATTTGGTAACTAAACTAACAGGTCAATCAGGATTTATATTCTTAATCAAGCTGAATTTACCATGATTTTTCAAACAAATATAAATAATTTGCGTCTTGTCTGAAAGTTCTCTTGATTTTCAACCCATTTCGAGTTTCCCAAACTTTTTGATAAAAGTTGCACTGAATTTGAGACATATATTATGATAAAGCTGTTCTCAACAATAAATAATTAGCTGGCTCGTAACAGAACGGTTGTTCCATAGGCTGAGCTTAACAAAGATTTCCAGCCGCGTCGGTCTTGTGCGCAACTCTTCCAATGTGAAAGGCCATGTTTCGAAATGGTGTCTTCCACTTGATCTTTCCATCGAATTCGTGGCCTTCCTCTTCTACGCGAAAGTTGGCTCGATTTTTTATGGCTTTTGATTTGGGGCACCCTCATCCATTCTCACAACATTGCCCAGCAAACGTAGTCGCTGCAACTCAATACGTCTATGTCGATGTCCGAGAATAGATGGTACAACTCATGGTTCATTCGACGGCGATAGATCGGCAGAAAGATCTTTCGGATAATTTTTACTCCAAACACTCCAAGAGCTGCCTCATCTGCTTGTACCAATGCTTCAGATCCGGTTGTATCAGCGTCTTGTAGAGTGTGAGTTTAGTCTGGCGAGATGTGACCTTGTTTCTAAACTGCTTACTCAGACTACTCTTATTAGCCAACTCTACTCTATTAGCCAACAATATCTCCTCCGAATTTTAAAACTGATGTCATTAGTTTTATTTATGGCGGTAACAAGGTATATAAAATCTTTGACTACCTCGAAGCTGTAGTTCTCAAGTTCCACAGTTGGTCCTAGTCTACTGGACGTCTTGCACGTTGATACCATCAGCTTGGTCTTCTCGCCATTTACTGCCAGAACCGCTTTGGCAGACCTCTTCTCAATTTGTTCAAAGGTGGCTATTACCACTCGCAATGTTTGACCCATTATTTCGATGTCATCGACGTAGGCAAATAAAATGTGTAGTTTGGTGTACAGAGTGTCACTTATGTTCACCTTTGGCTCCCGTATAACCTTTTCCAACAGGATGAATCCTCTTTCGGTATTAAAGAGCTCCTAGAGGTCCTTTCCGACTGTAACTGCTGACCTTGTGCCAGTTAAAGTTATCCTGCATAGTCACATTAACAAGATGATGTCAGAATAGCAATTAATCGTCTGAAGAATAATAAAGGAGCATGTGCCGATGGATTATCATCCGAACTATTCAAGACCGTCGGCTAGATGCAAGCACCAACTGATTTGTACTATTTGGCTAGAGGAATACATGTCCAATGATTGGGATCTCAGCATAATGTGTCCCGTGCACAAAAGACGATGTGTGCATATTCTCTAAAGAAACTATGAGTCCACCTCTTTCAGTTACAAATATATTATGTTTGTAACAGGGACATGGAAACGAGATAGACCCATAGTTCCTTTAGAGAATATGCATAGAATCAATACAAAAATGTGTATAAGTCATCAATTTTAACCGATTTTTTTGATTTTTCTCATTTTGAAAACTTATTTAATTTTCTTCCCTGTAACATAATTAAAATTATACGGCTTGATATCATAATTTCATCGTACAGTCCGAAGAAAAATACATTTTGTCTTATATAAGAAATAAAGGAAATTTTTCGAGTTTCAAATTGAAAATCTATGAAACCGCGTTAGCACAGTGAAATTATCCATGTCTAAACTAATTCTTGACATACTTCATATTTTTTGAGAATTTAATAAGTAGTCCAGGCTGCCTATTTTGCAATCACGAAAAAACAAAACCCTTCCTACCATTTTTAAACATCGATTTCCATCACAATTATAATTGCTAATACGGCGTTTACATTATAAATTTTTACCGGGTTAACCTACTCTATAAAGATTTATTTGACATAAATACAATGGAATTGATAACTTAAACCCACTGGGTTAACGAAATCCGGTTAAATGTAAACGCCGTATTAGTCATTAATTTAATTTTTCATTTACGGGTCGCTTTTAAAATCCACAGTAATCAAAATTGTTTACTATTTTATGTATTATTATTTTGAAAAGTTTTGCCTTTTTGGCATACGAAAACACACAATAAACATAGCCATGGCTTTAGTTATCCATATGTATGTGCTACGTATGTATCCAAACAATAACAAGTAAATCCAAAAAATTTAACAAAATGTGTATGTACTTACTGAAAATTGGCAACATTTTGCAAATGTTTTTTAGTTAATACTTTTATTTCTCTTCAATGTTCTTTTTTTTCGATGGATTATCCTATAAGATAGATTTATTAACTTGATGACGATACTTATCGGCACGATATCTACACTTAACTGGAAATAGATGTCCAGAAAATATTCATTCATAGATTTGTAAACGTCACAGATGGAAGTTGGCCGCATCAAACAAAATAGAGGTTATTGTATCCTCTCTCTCTCTCTCTCTTCTCTTAAAAAATCCTTGTTAGTGTTGTCAATGCTTTGAAACAATATAACAGAAGAAAAGTTTTACACATGTAGGGGAGGCTGGGGCACGCACCTTCGGTACTTTTTATTCAACATATATAAAAACTTTTTGGCTGTCTATTGTCCTCTGACACTTAATTATAAAAACTAGATATAGATAGAAAAACTAGATATAGATATAAAAAAATTAGTACATGTTAAAAATTTTTACAGTTTTGTAAAAAAGTCAAATTCACCGAATGTGCCCCAACGGGGTAGCTTAGGCATTTGATGGGGCACATTCGGAACCATAGTCATAGCTTGGTATTATGTTTGAATTTTATGGCTATATTTTCTAACGGCGGACTTTGAAATCTCAAGGTCGCACACACTATCAGAAATAGGTTTTTTCTATCGCATTTAGCCAGTATAAACACATTTAGTCTTCGAACCATATTAAAGGATTATTTTTAAAGGCAAACTCCAAAACATTTTAAACTCCTTGTACATTAGAACTTTTTACCGAACTTTTAACCTACTTTTTGAGGATTTATTTGACATATATGCAAAGGAAATGACAATTGAAACCCACTGGGTTAACGAAATGCAGTTAAATGTAAACGTACTGTTAAGGAAATAATATTGCACTATATGTATATGGCCGAATGGGCCCCACTTTAAAAAGCCTACCCCGAATGTACTTTTTACAGTTTTTTTTTCATTTTTTTTCCATCAGTATTTTAAAAACATTATATTTTTAAATATTTTTATAATAATACACATCGTAATTAACCACTTTTAAATATTATTGTCTTAAAATTTTAAAAGTTTGGAAATGGAATGGAAATATCACAAAAACATATGTAAAAATACAAGAAATCGTGCATCTAAATATGTTTATTATCCAGAAATTTCAAACTTTGTGAAAGTTATTTATTTTGATATTCGTTACCTATATATCGAAACTAGTGATGTACGACAAGGTTACCGTTGTGCGACTAAAATCGATGGCGGGCATAATAACTCACTGCAACATCGGAATCCGAAAATTCTAACGGTGTTAAAAAGAGTACATGTCTGGCTCTCGTATGAACTCGGATTATTGACTTCGCACAACAATTAACAAAATGGCGGAACTTTGATTTTTTTTTTTTTTTTTTTGAAAAATCGACTATTTTTGACCACAAACTAAGTTAAAAAATAAGGAAGATCACCGATTGGCTTTATCCTAGTTCAAACGATAGTTAGCGTTTAAAGTTTGTGAAGCCCTCTTGCTGCCACCTGATGCTAACACAATAAATCGGCTATATCTTCAAAAATTGTTGAGATGTTCACTTGAAAATTTATGGGGACATTCTTGAATTAGTGTAGGTTCAAATTCGGAAAGTAAGCACAGCTGAGTATAAATTTTGCCGTCAAATCATATTTTGAAACCTATACATACATCTAAAATTATATTAGACATCAAAACGTAAATATTCAAATTTTGTCAATATTCAATTAAAGTTTAATTTATATCGTCTTTTTAAAACAATTAGTTTTCGCCTGGGCAAAAAATTACGTTAAACTTAAGTTTTCTCTGTGAATTCGCTTACTGGCCGACCATATATAGGCCTTGATTCAAACTTTTCATAATTTTACTTTGGGCAACATTCAGCTTTCAAAGTGTAAATGAAATTTCCTGCTTTGAAATGTGCGCACAGTCTCCTGTCTCTACAATCTATAAATATAAGTTGTAGCATCTGTATGTATAGCTTAAGAACAATGTGGAAAAAAAATTTAAATATTTCTTACATT